GGGCAAAGGCATCCTATAGGGACCTCTCAAAAAACATTTTTATCGTGAAGTGTGCCTTTGAGTTCGAAATCCATTTTGTATAACGGACGTAAACGTCGGCAGCTGAAGGAATTCTTTGTGATACACTATGCTCTGTATATTATTCTTCTATTCCTGCTTTACAAAGGCCATTTTTAAGAAGGAATATGTGGCAGCAATGAAACATGAGGCAAGGGTACAACTGGAATCACACGACTTCTTAGAAATGAGAAAGGTGAGTAAGGATCAGAACCACAATTATTTGCGTAGGTGGTAGACATAGATAAACCAAAAAAAATTGAGTAAATAAAACATTCTATGCATACGACCACTTGTTTATTTGTTTATTGAAGTTTGAGTGAGTGAGCGAGGAATAGTGTACGAGTAGGCTCTGGCATTTTTCACATTTTCAAAGGGTGAACACGACTCTGTAGAATTTGTAGAACTCGTCAATTGCGTTAAGTAAGTCATCCATGTCATTTGGCGCCTCTTTGAACATCAACTTCCTCAAGCGGTCTCCAGTAACGTCTCCATTCGTCCCTGCCGCGAGCCAAAGTAGTCCAATATATCAAGGGACACGAGAAAAGCATTCTTCCGTTCACATCTCTCGTGAAGAAGTCTGGCCATCGCGCTGGAGGCCGTCCTGACGTTCGTTTGACGTCCCGAGTACTTTTGTGCAAAGTTTGCACTTTCACCTTTTTGTTAAAAGCCCTAATGTTTTCCGGTTGAGCTAAATTATGTGATTAAGATGAGAGAAATGGAAAACGACAATGTCAATCGTTTCCTCGGATTGTGCCTCGATGGACCACAACTACTCTCAGTATGGAAACATTGCAGTAGAGGAAGTCTGAACGATGTAATCACCAAGGGATCAGCGACAATGGACAACGTCTTCGTATTTTCACTAATTCGAGATATTGCATTCGTACGTGAGCTTTGCTTTCTGAAGTGTGTGCTCGAACAAGGGGGATTTGAGAGGTCCGGGAGTTCCTAGGAGAATTTCTGCTTTTTTAGCAGATTTTTTAATTTTCAAACAGTCCGGGTTTCCAGAACGGGGACAGGAGTTTAGTTTTTCCAGCATCGGTGATGAAATAATTCATGGGTCTGACAACGAGTTCGTTGAAACCACCCATCAAACAATGCTTTATTCAGGGTTTGGCCTTCATTCATCAATCATTCTTGGAATATCATGGTTTCCTAACCTCTAAATGTTGCGTTGTGGATGATCGTTGGCAAGCAAAAGTGTCAAGCTATGGCCTGAGAAAAATCCGCGCATACGACAAACGCTTGCCACAAGGTCAGTTTAAAGGCATTGTTCACGAAAAAATTGTTTCGGAGATCTGCACATGGTTTGAATTCGACGCCCCCTCTGATACCATTTGGGCAGGAATGAGGTCGGAAAACGGTTTGGATAGGCCACAATAAGGGAAGGAACAGTGGTGGTCGGGAGGCCTCCGCCCCTCGCTAGGCTGACTACGAGTTCTAATTGTCTTTCACCACATTCGCATTGGAGCGATGTGTCTGCTTGGGTGTGTTGTCTGCTATTGCAGACATTGCGTCGCCTTCGTGCACTCGCTCGAACACTCCCTTAACCGCCGTTCTTCCAATGTGAAACTCGTCCAACCCCCTTTCCGCTCTTTTTTGACCCTTTCTATTTCATTTTCTTCATCGTTTTTTGCGCTTTTTTCGTTGTTGTGGCTTTATCCTAGAGTAGTTCTATGAATTCCCGTCGAAAAAGGGTACCCTAAATTTATCGTAAACGGTGCCTTTAATTCACCAATGATTTTGTAAATCCTGTAAAAAGGCCGATCTGCTGAAACGGAGTGTGGGGAGCCGTTTTCGAAATTGGAATCGCTTGTGTTTGCGGGTTATTCATACATAATGCTGTTACTTAAAGACCTGGATGTTAAGCAATGTCTCCAGCTATTGTTGACTACTCTTATATCCCTAGTGGGGGAACATCATGAAAGCTTCAGTATTTCAGGGCCGAGATACAGCAATAAAGCCATTTTGAGGTAGACGGTCTAGGTCAAGCGCAGTTGGAAAAGGCATTTCGATTGGCACCTAAACTAGACACTTTCGCGTAAGAATGGGTCACAAATAGAGGCGAATGCGGTAACAGAAAGACCTAGTTCTTCTCATGCCTTTGTGGGTAGTGGCTAGGCCCGTCGAGTAAGGGGTTTGTTAAAAATATGTAGTACCAGAGGGCGGAGGTGGTGTAGTGGCAAGTGGCGCACTAAATCACACGCACGGTCAGGGGTTCCAATCCCGGATCGATGCTCGCCTAGGCCAACCAAGCTTTCCATCCCTCTGGGTCGGTGAATTGGTGCCAGACTCGTTTGGGAGGATAAAAGCACTGACTTGTACATCGGCTGGCCACCGCAAGTCATTGTATAGGCTACATACGCACTCATTACGCCACTACGGTTCTGAATGGAAGTCGAGTGCGGGGGCGCACCCCTCAGACGGGATTGATTAACGCCAGAAAATTTATCCTTTTATCCTTTATGTGGTACGCATTCCCATTTTGGATGAGAAGAGGAACGCGATTCCAGCTACCATGGGATCAGGTTCAATGCCCATGGAGTAAAACTGGCGAGAAGCGGCATCAACCCTTGTCTGACCAAAGTTGCAACAACACCACTAACGATGAGGTATAATCGAAATGAAATGGCCAAAGCATTCTTAGATAGAAAATGCAACGAGCTTGGAAGTTCAGTGGAGGAATTCACGAAAAGTTCTACAGAAGAGTTGGCGCGACAAGGTCAAAAGGGATTTGCAAAAGCGCTCATGCTTGCTAGAAGAATCGTCTTCCGGGAACAAGGGGGAGACTCAGTTCATTTGCGCTATTGGGCTAGAGTGGTAACAATTGGCCGAAGAGGATGAAAGTGCTGAGTCTCCCCTTTGTTCTCGGAAGAAGGTTCTTCTATCAAGCTTGAGCTTGGAGACAGGATGGCTCGGTTATCACTGAGAAGTATGGATCCGACAGGCTGGACAAGCCAAAAACTGATTCCCGAACAACTGATGGGTGACAGTGCGCTACCTTTACCCAGTAAGAAATCATGGGAATCTATTTGGTACCTAAAAAACACTTAATGCTCTTAATTAACACTGGCTCGGAATGGGAGTACCAACTTGTCCCAAACCCTTTTGAAGTGGATAGTTCGTTTTTGTTAGCGCCGTCCGTATTCATCTATTTAGACCTGTTGTGGACTGCCCCCGAGCTCTTACGTAAAGATGACTCGGGAGGATCTAAAGAAGCCGACATTTACAGGTTAGTACAACTTAACACTCAGGCTATACTACTAAGGTAATGCTCAGGTATGACAGTACTTTTGGTATTCCTCAGTACTGTATTGCCTTCTGCTTCCGTTTTTCGTTTTCAAACCATTTGCTGCTTTCATAGTCCGCCGGCCGGCCGGCCGGCGTGCGTGCCGGCGGAGGCAGTGCTAGGGGGGAGGAGGGAGGCAGACAGTGTAAGGCAAACAGTCCTTGCCCCTTCGAAGGTTGTTTGTTTTCAACCCCTCGAAGGGGCGTGGACTGTTTGCCTATCTGTCTGCCTCCCTCCTCCCCGCTAGCACTGCCTCCGCCGGCACGCCATCACGCACGCCGGCGCGCCGGCGCGCTTGGCGGTCGGCCGGCCGGCGGACTATGAAAGCAGCCATTATAAAGCCTTTGTTAAGCTTTGGTATCATATGTGCACAATTGGTCACGAAGACTTCTGCATGGGATATTGATAATCGGAAGGAAGACGCGTCAGGTTCGTACGTCACCAGAGATCCATTTTTATTTTCGGCTATGAAAGCAGTAGAATTATTTTTATTTCTAGAAAGTAGGGATGTATAGGATTTTTCCATAAAATGTAAAAAAAATCGCTGTCAGTGGAAAGCAGTGGAACGCGTGGTGGAAGAGGGGTGTGTCTCCTCCCATGACTGATTCCTTGAGCGGTTTCACCTCCAGAAGTTTGGAGCAAATCTCTTTTCCAGCTTCAACCAGGATATACATTAGAAAAAAGGCTACTGTGGATCCCCTTTCATAATTGGACTCATTGAAATGAATGCGAAAATCCTAAGAGGTTTTTATAAGCACTAACAAAGGCTCATATCCTCTGAAAAAGCTCTACAGAGAGTACAGTACCTCCTTCAAAGTCACCGTCGGCGATTTCGTTGCCAGGCTCGACCGTGAAGATCTGCTGAGAAAGTCCACATCGTGACTCACGGAATGGAATGAACAGGGTAAAAGTCTGTAGTCCACATGGCCTTTAATCGGTAGGTTCGAATCCGGGAACGGCATCCGGCTAGGCCAACAAAGCCTTCCATCCTTTCGGGTCGTTGAATTGGTACCAGACTCGTCTGGGAGAATGAAAGCACTGGCTTGTACATCGGCTGGCCACCACAAGACACTGCATAGGCCACATATGCACTCATTACGCCACTACTACTCTGAATGGTAGTCGAGTGGGGGGCGCTTCCCTCAGACGGGATTGATCAATGCCAAAAACTTTATCCTTTATACTTTATCCATGATCGGCACCATCGATCATGATAGCGCTAGGAAAGCAGAGTGGATATGTTTGTGAGAGACGTCTTGATCATCGGATTACTCGTGTGGGTGCCCCTGTTGCGAGTGGATGAGTCCATCAAACCCTTCTTCTTCACAAGATTCCCGCACGGAAGGGACTGGGGACCAGTCCCAGAGTATCCTTTCCGTCCGGAGCTCTTGTCTGACCTTCGCACAGACGGAAAAAATTGGGGAAACACTCGCTTTCTTTCAGTTCTGTAAAGAATACTCAGGATTTAGATGAATCGAGTAACATTCGACTATTCTCCGGTTTGAAAAGTTGTAAAATATTTATGAGCACGATTGTTTTGAAATACTATCAAATGAGATTTCACGATTTTAGAGATACTCTACTTGGTGAAGAAAGGAGGACATATGCAGGAGCGTCCATCGTTGACGGTCAAAGATGGTGAAGAAGCAAATCCTGCTTTAGTGAGTCAGCTTGTTCCTCCAGACCCTTATGTATCCAGTAAAAGCAGGGAAACACCCTTGTTGGCATGGATGATATGCTACCCGTAATTATAGGTAAGAATGTAGACCTGTCTGTGTAAACTCTGTAAATTCAATATTCCGTACATTTAGTAACTAGGGAAATGTAATTAAACAAAAAAAATGTAAGGATCTCAAGCGAGTGGGTCGTGTTTACAAAAAATAGTCTCAATGGACGTCCTAGTCTGACTTTAACTCTTTTGCGATACACGTTATGCATCCAAATTATATCTGTCCGGGCCGTTGGCTGGAAATCATCATATAAGTCGGAGAAAAAGTGATGAACATTTAGTTAATTTTTTGGTAATGTAATGGTACCCCCGGCACTATTACACATGTATGGTCACGAGTTCGAATCCCAGATCGCTTCGGTCGAGTCCAACCAAGCCTTCCAGCCCTTCGGGGTCGCTTAACTGGTATCAGAATCGTCTGGGAGGATAAAAGCGCTGGCATGCGGAATGGAAGTAGACGCCTCGACAATTCCGTCTAAGGGTGGCTCGTCCCTTAGACGGAATTGTTCAACGCCCAGAACTCTTTGCTTTGTCCTTTAGCACCGGCAAGTACATATGAGCAAGTTTTTAGCCTTATCACAGAAAAAAAAACGTTTCCGGCAGATCCTGGAATGCTTCAAATAACTTGGCAGCTTGGTTTTCTACAATGTGTTCACAACCTTATTGTTTTGCCACATAAAAAGAGATACTGTCGAAATTAATACATTTCATACTGTCTTAGTTGCGTTAGTATAGTATCTGCTCTAACGGAACTTCTCCCCGATTGCGGCATTCTCTCTTGCGGCATACGGCAAATGTCACTGCAACTTCCGTACTCACCCCGCCTCCCCGCCAATCGATAGGACGCGATATTTTTCGTTGGTTGGCTTGCTTTTTCATTGGATTAGATTGTTTTTCTTCTGTTTTTTTNGCATTGGAACTGAAAAGAGCGGTCAGCCAATTCAAATAATTAAAGGACTCCCTACCTCACAAATTGCGCGCTCCAATCTTCCATCGCAATCCTGCGAAACGCGGCAGGTGCGGCGAGTGCGACGCCGTGTTCAGGGAGAAGTTTGCGGACCCTAGTGTCTGCACCCTAAGTATTGTCTGATGGAAGGGTAAAGTCTTTAGGCGTTGATCAATTTTATCTGACAAAATTGCAAATAATCTGAATAATCTGGATTGCAAAGGGTTTTGAAATGTATAAAAGTCTCGGATAAAGCCTTAGTGCGTTAATCAGACTCGTCTGAGGGATGCGCCCTATCATTCGACATCCATTCAGAATCGTAGTGGCCAATATGGCCTATAAAATATCCCGCAGTGGCTAGCCGGTGTACAAGTCAGTCCTTTTATCCTCACAAACAAGTCTGGTACCAAATAACCGACACGTGAAGAGTGGAAGGCTCAGTTGGCATGTGCGGATATCGATCCAGGATTCGAACCCGTAACCATGGTTGTGTGATAATGCGCCACTTGCCACTACATCACTTCTCCCTCATTGCCTGGTAAGAAGTACCAATAGGAGGGAAAATACATAAAGAGAAGTTTTGATGAAAAAGTACTCATGTTTTGTGGCTCAGAGACTATGACTAAGAAACTGAATTTCAGCTGCATCTCATTCGGGATTGCTGGACAGAGCGCCCATCTGAGAGACCGGATATAAATATGGTCAAATCGAATTTGAAAAGCATGAATACGAACAGGTATCCTTAGGTTTTTTGAGAAAACAATTCGAGATCTTCACTCAAGTTTCCTAGCTCTTAGTAAGATTTTTGGTTGTCCTTACCTATCTTATACTTTTTCCTTTCAAGAAAAGGGAATCTGATGGACTACGTATTCACCATGCTTGAGCAGTATGCATCAACGTTGGAGGGAGAAGTCGAAGATAGAACGAGACAGTTGGCGGAAGAACAAAAGAAGAGCGATGTTTTGTTGTATCGGATGCTACCGAAGTAGGCTTTTGAATTCAAATTATATTCGGCGTACTACCTCATTCCGGGTAGTGGTAGTTCAGTAACAAGTGGCGCACCATTACATACGTTATTCGGGATCGGGTCCTACCCTGGTGTCAGCCCTAGGCAGCCATGCTTTCTAGCTTTTCGTGATTGCCTAATCGGTTCCAAGACGTTTGGGAAGATAAAAACACTGACTTGTGCATCGAATGGCCACCGCAACTTACTATTCGGACCACGCACTCATTCAGACCGCCTTTATCATTCCGGATGGAATGTCGAACCCAGGAACGCACCACAAAGGGGTTCATTTACGCCCAATCACATTGAATATCCCGAACCTGCTGGGCTCCCAATCTGATTTTTCAGGTTTAGTATGTGAGCTGGAAGTGCTGGGTTCCTAAATTTCGAAATTTTGCCTCAATCGAAACATCAACATCATCACGGAAATTATATGGGACTTCCCCACCCATGAGTCTGCGGGGTATTTTTGCGGCAGTTCCAAGTTCACCACAGTCTTCACCGTTCCTGTTACAGCATAGGAAACGTCTAGTACTTTCACAAACCTATTTACACATCATGTATACAGTGGTTTGCTTCCAGATCTTGTAATAAATGATATTTGTAAAGAATAATACCTCTATCAATCAATTGTAGGCAAGTAGCCGAAAAATTAAAACTCGGGCAATCTGTGGAACCGGAAACCTTCGAGAGCGTGACTGTGTTTTTTTCGGATGTTGTATCGTTTACTACTCTTGCGGCTAAATGTAATCCAATGCAGGTAGGCTTTCCATCCTTTTCATGCTGCATCATCATATGGTAATATACTGTATACTTATCAGATGGGAAAACTACCACACCCAAAACGTGTTGCCTAACTATCATTTCTTTTACCCAGTAGCTCCAAAATTATGAAAAACGGATCTCTCTTCAACTTACCTAGTTTTTTTTTTCGAAATAGTACAGTACCTTGGGGAATTTTTCATTCGTTGA